AAGTGCAAACAATATATATTATATGTCTTTGGTCTTGTTCTCTTCCACACTACATGTTTCGGCCTCTATCGGCCATCATCAGGTGTATACTCTTAACGTTGCTGCTACACTGAACCCAGTCTAAAATTTAACATTTAAAAAACACATTGTTATTTTCTTCGTATTATCAACATCTACCTCGTTGATATGTGTCTGGTATGTAGATTATATTGCACACGTCAAATTTGATTTTCCTGTAGTAGCACTATAAAATCTTTAGTTATGATTTTAAAATCCTTTAAAATTTTCTCTAAATTTTAAATTTAAAATTTAAAATTGTTAGGGTTACTCGCCCTATGTCTAAAGTGCTGGAGCGGCTAGTTCTTGTTTCCACACTGTACAGGTGTTATTCTGTGTAGTCTTCCTGTGTGCGTGCCGCTAAGACAAGACAATCTTGTGTTATGTTCATGAAGTCTTAAACACTCGTACTTATAATTTTAAAACTTAAATCTTAAATGAAAAACCTTTATCAAATAGACTACAATATGGATCAAAATCACTTGGAATTTTTGTGACGAGAGCATGTTTTAATTGCAGTAGTATAGGATTTGAAACCTGCTTGAACCAGGATTCTTTGTCCGCTTCTTCCGGTTTGTACTGTAGCAGCTTAATGAAGGACTCAATCCTGTTACCTGCCATGAACTTGATTTACAAAATCACCAATTAAAGGAACCTGATTTTGGTGCTCGCCCCAATCTTGGACCATGCTTCTCTCAAAAGATGTGATGCTGTCTGAATTGAACTTCCTGTAAGCTGCTATTATATGTCATATTACTTTACGACTGTTAGTAACATCTTGTTACTGAGCAGGTTCATCTAGCAGTATTGCTGTAGATTTGTGTTCAGGAGGACCTTGTTTCGAATCTGGGCAGGTACACCAGCTATCCTGACTGAGGCTTTTCAGTTTTTTCCCTGGAACCCTATAAGCATATGCCAGGCTAATACCTAAAATAAGCCATGCTTTCTTCCTTCAAACTCTTTTACAATTCCTCATTCACATATCCTACTACTCAACACTATATAGTCTACAGTTCTGAAAGTATTGGAAAAATAACCCCAAAAAGAGATCCCACTTTTACAAGAAGAGTTATGGATTGCCATAAAGATGTATGGGAGCAGTGGAAGTATAGCTCCATAAAATCTTAACTTTGTCCCTAGGATACAGGTTAGCCTTTGGCTTCTTTCTCCAGCCACTTTGTCCGCAGTGCCTGCGTCTGACACGTCACTACACTGTTCATTATTTGCTTCAGAATGACAGATGCACATGTGTTTGTCTTCAAAGAAGCAGTGCAGAGACATTTACAAAATAAAAAAGGCCAGCTTTCAATTCACCATTAACAATTTGACTGCAAAATGGGGCCACAGTTCTGATCTTGCAGAATCGTGTCAGTTCAGATAGTGCTGACACCTTAAAGGAGCTACATGGTGTGCCAGTGTGCATAACTGTGTGGCTCATAAGTTTATCAGAGAACAAGACAATGCTTAGTGCCAGAACACAGTTGTCCATCTCCAGCTGAACTTCATACTTACTTACTTATGGAGCTGAGCCCTTCTTGAGGAGAAACCAATTCTGCAGCTACTCAAGAATTTCTCAGCATTTTGTGGAACCCGAAGGTTCATTACCCTGTTCACGAGAGCCCTCCACTGGTCCGCATCCTGAGCCAGATCGATCCAATCCATGACATCCCATCTTTTCTCTCTAAGATCCATTTTAATATTGTTCACCCACTTGCGCCTTGGTCTTCCCAGTGGTCTCTTTCCATCTGCCTTTCCCACCAATATCCTATATGCATTCATTTTCTCCCCCATTCGTGCTACATGCCCTGCCCACCTCATCCTCCTTGACTTGATCACTCTAATTATACTTGGAGAAGAGTACAAGTTATGAAGCTCCTCATTATGCAGTTTTCCCCAACCTCCTGTCACTTCATCCCTCTTCGGTCTGAATATTCTCCTCAACACCCTGTTCTCAAACACCCTCAGTCTGTGTTCCTTCCTTAATGTCAGAGACCAAGGTTCACACTCATACAGAACCACAGGCAAAATTATAGTTTTGTATATTCTAATTTTTTATGTTTGGGAACTTCATACTATAAATAGCAATATGGTATTTTTAGTGTCATATTGTTTGTAGACTATTTTATTCAGTTTTAATCTCACAATATATATATATATATAAGTCTGGGATAACTATACGGCTACTACATTATGACATGTTTTGGCCACTATTTTTGGCCATCATCAGGTAGTACTTATAATCACTCTCAACTCTCTTTGCTATTCCTTCTCAAATGGCCATTTGCAATTGGGGAAGATCATATTGTCATAGTGGTACTGTTAATATGCTTCTCCCAATTTGCACTTTATTTCATGCAGAATTTAAAACAAATATTTCATCACAATAGTGGATACAGTAGATTAGCATAAAGCACACTGAAATTCTTGCAACTGTCAATATTGTCACGTGTAGACTTGTAGATGGGATGGTGGAGTGGTGAATCGATTTATTCCATATTCACGGGTTGTAAGCACACTTAGTTCTTACACTCTAAAAGATTACAATAGCTATGAGTGTAACATCTGAAAGGAAGTCTTCAGCTTCTGTCAGCACATCAGCCTTTCAGCTTTCTTCTGCTGACTGCTTCACACCAAACTCTTGACTGCTTAACATTTTAAGCAAATCGAGTTGAGTCTTATGTTATGACTGACGGTCCTTCGGCCATCTGGGGCTTATTGTGGGTTTATTGATTTGTGGCATTCTCACTGATGAGAGGACTGATCTGTCTTTTACAATACCTGCTTGCCCTCGCCAGCGCAATCGTTCTCGAATCCGAGTCCCTTGGGACTCGTGAAGATATTTTACTGTCTCAGATTCAAGACTTCCCTTTTCGTCGCCTCCTACAACTCGCATGGTTACAGTGGAGGTATTCTACAGTGCCTCCACACGGGAGTACTTTACTTTCTTGTCTGAGTCTGAGTCTTGTATTACGACCGACGTTCAGTCGGCCAGTCTGTCTTGGGATACAGAATCCATCTGGGGCATACTAGCAGATGTTTATAAATGTCAGACAGTTGCCGGGTTTGTTGATAATAGGGCGCTCTCTCTGACGAGAGAAAGGGTCTGTCGTTTACAATTGCTACTGGCCCTCGCCAGTGCAGTAATTTTCGGGTTTGAGTCCCATGGGACTTGTGACCATATTTTATTGTCTCAGATTCGAGACTTCCATTTTCGTCGCCTTCTACGATTCGCAGGGCTACGGTGGAGGTATTCGAACCCGCCTCCACATGGGATACTTTTCAAGCAAAGTGAAAGTCACATTGTGACTGACGGTCAGTCAGTAAGTCTTGATGTCGATCCCCACCTGGGGCTCATGACCAGATATTTATTACTGTTTGACAGTTACGGACTTGTTTTTGTGGGACGCCCTCTCTGACGAGAGGTCGGGTCTGTCTTTTATATATGCTGCTGGCCCTTGCCGGGGCAGTCTTTCTCAGGTCCGAATCCCTTGAGACTTGCGATCATATTTTACTGTCTCAGATTTGAGGCTTCCCTTTTTGTCTCCTCCTACGACTCGTAGGGTCGCGGTGGAGGTATTCGACCCCGCCTCCACACTGGTAGACCGGGAGAGGGGGTCAAGCGATTTTTCGTGTAGGTTGCAAACCTTCGGCACGGACCACATAGGAAACTTCTTCTATTCTAATAGAGTCATGTTCACAATGTAACTGCCTAGCAATCAGTCTCGGAGCGTATCGTAACAATGGATTCTCTATTGTTGCCACGTCCTTACGGAGGAAGGAGTTTACCGGCCGTTACATAGAAACGGCAGTTCTTCTATTGTTATATTGTTTTCGTTGCCGCGAGAATGTTTACGGTGTCGTTGAGTGAAAGTGCCACTCCCGTTCTATTGTTGCGTGCGTTTCTGTGGCTCATTAGTTCTTGCATGGAGTAGATACGCCACAATATATCATTGAATTTGG